ACTCTTTTTGCACGCACACAAACCAGAGCAGCACATCGCTTGTCACTGTTTTCTCATGTAAATGCCTTGGCTGTTGAATGGTTACTAGGGTGCATACATAAGTGATAAGGCATTTAAGTGTCTTAAATATTATAAGGTGTTTGTCAGCCTTTGAAATCTGGTACTATGTCTGAGGACCATTTAAAACTGAAATGGTATCTGGAAGGGATGTAAATATAATTTTAAAAAGTACCTGTTTAAATTATTAAAATTTAATCGGTTAACTGGTTAACCAGTTTGGACCTCACGATGCCTAGGATGGTGCGTCTCCCCTCCCTCGTTGCCCCGGACAGACTGGGAAGGGCAGCTGCACTCATACCGGGGGTGACACAACAAGTCTAGCCAGGAGAGCCTGGGGCAGTTGAGTGATCCCAGCACCCCCCTCGCATCATCAGTACCCAGGGAAAGAGGCCCCAGGTATCTAGTTTGTCCCAGTGTGGCCTCTGCAGATGCTCTGTGCCACCCCAGCAGCAGCTTCCCTTCCCTTCAAATATCAGCTGAAGCCACAGCACCAGTGGCACAGGCAGAGGCGAGGGGCTACTTTACCCCTCAACGGGACCCGCAGCCTCTGCCCGCCCCCCACGGTCGAAACGCTTTCCCTTTGCCTGGCTGGCCACCCCCCACGAAGCCTCTGGCCTAGCGGTTTGTTTGTCCTGCTTCCCTGCACTGCCAGGCGTTCCTTCGCCTAGCGAGCGGTATCCTTCCGCCGGGGTCGTCACCCCTGGGTCCGTGCAAATATTTCCCCTCAGGTCAGCGGGGCTGGAGGGACTGTTTTTACCAACTAAGGGGTGTGCAGGACCCTCCTTGTTGCTGGACCGAAGACCCCGCTGGGCTAATGCGTTAATATCGACCCAGCCCTTTTAAGAGGGTGCTGGCCTCCCTGTGGCCTCTTGTGATGCCTGCCCCTTCCTGGCTGCCATAATTACCTCCTGCCAGCGTCCCAAAAATGACATCTCTGCTTCAGGAAAACCTGTTCGAGACCCGGGCACAGCCCCCAGCAGGACTTCTACCAGCTGATTGTCACCTGGAAGGAGGTGGGTGAACGAGGGAGGGTTAATGATAAGACTGGTACTTATCAGTCAACCGTTTAATATTTTATTTCCCTGGTATCTGGAGGGCATAGGCATGCAGACAATGACCAGCTGGTTGCAAAGGCCCAGACATCTGAGCACAGTTCTGTGAGTTTGGCATTTCTTTCCTCTTGAAGAATGTGAGGTTTCCTCTTTCTTGAAACCTCCTACAGTTCTGAGAAACTGATGAGAAGCTATTTGGAGTTGCTATAAATATACATTTAAATACTCTTTGGAATTCTATTAAATAACTTGGAAAGAAGCTTTAGTCCTTTTAAAATGGGAGGTTGCTCCTAGATGGCAAACTAGTAAAACCATAAATATTAACTGATTCTTTTTTATTCTAGTTTACTAATTAATAATAAGAAGAACAATAATGAAATATTGGGCAAATACAGATTGCAATAAAGAAATGAGATTCCTCTAATTTTAAAATAGTTCTTGAACAATTACTTTTATTCAAAAGGGGGGTGAGGGTTAAAATTTTATCTTAACTCCCATTTTCATTGTATCTAAACTTACTAAATTACAACTACTGACCTTTTATTATAAGATGTCTTTATTACTGCTCCAGATTCCCTCACCAGTCGTACCAGTTCTATCTCTAGCAGTGTGATATAGCTGTGTGGTTCTCCCCTAAGCCATTAAGGCGGGCTGAGATCACTGCTACTTTGATATCGTGACCTGGTCAATAGGACCAGAGTGATAAAATATAGCTTTTGAGAGCAGTGAGAAACACATTCTGGCATATGACAGCACCTTTGGGCTTAGCTGTTGGGAAGATATGTATTTCACTAGGATGTAAAATAAATACTGAAATATGTTTTCTTCCATTCTTTCCACTTCAGTAATAAAGCTCTTAAAGGAGGAAAAATGTGTATTTTTTTTTAATTTGTAGATTAATGAGTAGAATTATTATGGAGAGTGAATCCAAGGTATAGTAAGGCTTTATGGGTGCACTCTCTATTGAAGTCAGTGGGAGTTTTCCATTGACTTCAATAGAGGCATTTACATCAAGGCTAGACAGTTATGTGTTGATGGCCAATTAAGGACACTTCACTCTAACGATGGGCCATAGAAGAAACTTATCTTGCCCAGATAGCTCTCCCTGAGGATGCCTCAGACACTGAGTGGCCAATGGCCCACCCCTGTGATCCAGCCAACTATGTAAGGACATGTGATCCTGGACTCCATCTTTGGCCAGTCACTTTCCACAAACAGGGGCTGTGGGCTTTGATTGGGACATACAGTAAAATTCCAAGCACATGGCAGAGGATATAAAAAGACACCTGAGACATCTCCTTTTTGTCTTCATTTCCTATTTCATTTCTCTGGACTGGATTTTTTAACAAAGAAGCTCTAAACAAGGACTGATGATCCCCAATCTACTTGGGTGATTCTAGAGAGACTTTTGCAAGCTAGCAGTTCATTCCATCACTGCTATGATCCTGATCTATGAACACTGAAAGTACTTGTATGTATATGATCTGTTAACCATTCAATAACACTCTTCTTTTAAAAAAGAAAAGGAGTACTTGTGGCACCTTAGAGACTAACCAATTTATTTGAGCATGAGCTTTCGTGAGCTACAGCTCACTTCATCAGATGCATACCGTGGAAACTGCAGCAGACTTTATATATACACAGAGAATATGAAACAATACCTCCTCCCACCCCACTGTCCTGCTGGTAATAGCTTATCTAAAGTGATCATCAGGTGGGCCATTTCCAGCACAAATCCAGGTTCTCTCACCCTCCACCCCCCCACACAAATTCACTCTCCTGCTGGTGCTAGCCCATCCAAAGTGACAACTCTTTACATAATCAAGTCGGGCTATTTCCTGCATAAATCCAGGTTTTCTCACATCCCCCCACCCCCATACACACACAAACTCACTCTCCTGCTGGTAATAGCTCATCTAAACTGACCACTCTCCAAGTTTAAATCCAAGTTAAACCAGAACATCTGGGGGGGGTAGGAAAAAACAAGAGGAAACAGGCTACCTTGCATAATGACTTAGCCACTCCCAGTCTCTATTTAAGCCTAAATTAATAGTATCCAATTTGCAAATGAATTCCAATTCAGCAGTTTCTCGCTGGAGTCTGGATTTGAAGTTTTTTTGTTTTAAGATAGCGACCTTCATGTCTGTGATTGCGTGACCAGAGAGATTGAAGTGTTCTCCGACTGGTTTATGAATGTTATAATTCTTGACATCTGATTTGTGTCCATTTATTCTTTTACGTAGAGACTGTCCAGTTTGACCAATGTACATGGCAGAGGGGCATTGCTGGCACATGATGGCATATATCACATTGGTGGATGTGCAGGTGAGCGAGCCTCTGATAGTGTGACTGATGTTATTAGGCCCTGTGATGGTGTCCCCTGAATATTCAGGGCCTAATAACATCAGCCACACTATCAGAGGCTCGTTCACCTGCACATCCACCAATGTGATATATGCCATCATGTGCCAGGAATGCCCCTCTGCCATGTACATTGGTCAAACTGGACAGTCTCTACGTAAAAGAATAAATGGACACAAATCAGATGTCAAGAATTATAACATTCATAAACCAGTCGGAGAACACTTCAATCTCTCTGGTCACGCAATCACAGACATGAAGGTCGCTATCTTAAAACAAAAAAACTTCAAATCCAGACTCCAGCGAGAAACTGCTGAATTGGAATTCATTTGCAAATTGGATACTATTAATTTAGGCTTAAATAGAGACTGGGAGTGGCTAAGTCATTATGCAAGGTAGCCTGTTTCCTCTTGTTTTTTCCTACCCCCCCCCCCCCAGATGTTCTGGTTTAACTTGGATTTAAACTTGGAGAGTGGTCAGTTTAGATGAGCTATTACCAGCAGGAGAGTGAGTTTGTGTGTGTATGGGGGTGGGGGGGATGTGAGAAAACCTGGATTTATGCAGGAAATAGCCCGACTTGATTATGTAAAGAGTTGTCACTTTGGATGGGCTAGCACCAGCAGGAGAGTGAATTTGTGTGGGGGGGTGGAGGGTGAGAGAACCTGGATTTGTGCTGGAAATGGCCCACCTGATGATCACTTTAGATAAGCTATTACCAGCAGGACAGTGGGGTGGGAGGAGGTATTGTTTCATATTCTCTGTGTATATATAAAGTCTGCTGCAGTTTCCACGGTATGCATCTGATGAAGTGAGCTGTAGCTAAATAACCAAATAAATTGGTTAGTCTCTAAGGTGCCACAAGTACTCCTTTTCTTTTTGCGAATACAGACTAACACGGCTGTTACTCTGAAACTCTTCTTTTAGATTATTAAACCTTTAGTTTTTGCTACGAAAGGATTGGCATCGGCATGATTATTGGGTAAGATCTGAGTTATATATTGACCTCGCTAAGTGGCTGATGCCTTGGGATTGGAAGGATCCTATATCTGATTAAATTGGTTTTCAGTAACCACTCATCATAAAGTCCAGCGTCTGGGTGGTGCTTTCCTACCTCTCATGGATGTTGAGGCTTAATTTCACTGATTTTTGTAAAGTGTTTTAAAATCCTCAGGTGGAAGGTGCTATAGGAGTAGTCCAAAGTATTATTAATAAATAATTTGAGGCAGAGACAAAGCATTGAAAATTCCAACTCGAAAGATTAATGCTTCAGTAAGTTATGCATGTGTGGAAACAAGGGATTGTAATGGAAGCTGCTTTGCCACGTTGGTCTACTAAATACCAGTTTAGGTAGATAGCCAAAGAAAAGACATCTACAGAATTATCGTGACAATCAAGGTCAGAGACCATGCATCAACTCTAGTGAAAATGACCTCTGGAAATAACTCTGTTATTAGGGAAGTGTTTGCATCTGACCATTCATTTGTTCAGAATTCTATGTAAATATATATATATATTTCTTTTCAACAGAGCAGAAAAGCTACAGTTGCTTAACCACAGGCCAATGACCGCAGTTGAGATACAGCTGGTAAGTTACAGTTCTCCTAACTGCTTAAAATCCATATATTAATGCATCTTTAATCTTGCAGATCAATTGAATAATCATTTGCTCATGGTCACTAACTGATAGGACCTCTGTACACATCTTTATATTCATGTTTTCTGATTTTGTTTTCTTTCCTCTCTGCTTCCCCTAAGAGACCTCTCTATAAGACTTACCCCTCTTCCTCTCAGAACCCACAGCAGGGGCAACTCTTCACTCTCACGTTTGTGTCAGTGTTTCAGATGGAAAATAGCCATCAGAATTGTTAAATGGAGGTATAATCTCATGTCCTAGGAATACATTTACCTAAGGGTTTCTTCTGTTGCTTTGTAAAGTCAAATACTTTGGAATATGAAATTTGATTTAGAAAACTACTGTGGTATATTCCTTTTCATTATTTTTCTAAGGTACAAGGAAGGCAAACATTTGGGAGAGAACAATAGTTAGCAATGTCTGCCGCTGTGCTTTTGAAGTGACCGTGTAGCATGAGAACTCTACAGTGGGAAGAAGAAAAGGAGTACTTGTGGCACTTTAGAGACTAACCAATTTATTTGAGCATAAGCTGGGAAGCTATCAGTTGGAAGTCATCCATTATCAATCTGCTGGAACATAACGTTTGGATAAAGGAATATTACAGATAAAAAGGGATAGATAGGTTAAATGTTCTCCAGAGCATCGTGTAAAGAACACAAATGCTGTATTAATAAGGAGATTATTGTAACAAGGCTATTCCTCTAATAAGGCTGTCTTGCATGGAGAACATCTGTTGATTGTGTAATAGCCGGATTGTATTCTGTTGCAAAAGTGTATGGGTTAGAAGTGGATGCTAATAGGACTGCATCCTTACTTCTCATATTCCTTGATAGCCAAGAACTAGCATTTCTAGCAGAGAAAACAGCTGATCTGATATCCCAGGAACTGCTATTGTCAAGTTTATCTACGAGTTAATGCCACTTTCTGCAGCTGCAAACAAGAGTATGAAGGCTTCACTCGTTTTGTTAGGCAGCTTTTCAGAAGAGATGAAGTAGAGCCTTCAAATGTTTTAGAATTTCTTTCTATTTCTGTTAGCTTCCTGTATTGCACTTACAATTCATTAGGTTTCAGCACAGTTCACATTCTATCTTCTCTTCTTCTTAAAATGTACTCATCTTATTTGGGGACAATGTATACCTTCAGATCAGCGGCACTGCTATGGGTACCCGCATGGCCCCACAGTATGCCAACATTTTTATGGCTGATTTAGAACAACGCTTCCTCAGCTCTCGTCCCCTAAAGCCCCTACTCTACTTGCGCTATATTGATGACATCTTCATCATCTGGACCCATGGAAAAGAAGCCCTTGAGGAATTCCACCATGATTTCAACAATTTCCATCCCACCACCAACCTCAGCCTGGTCCAGTCCACACAAGAGATCCACTTCCTGGACACTACAGTGCTAATAAACAATGGCCACATAAACACCACCCTATACCGGAAACCTACTAACCGCTATTCCTACCTGCATGCCTCCAGCTTTCACCCTGACCACACCACACGATCCATCGTCTACAGCCAAGCTCTGCGATACAACCGCATTTGCTCCAACCCCTCAGACAGAGCCAAACACCTACAAGATCTCTGTCAAGCTTTCTTACAACTACAATACCCACCTGCAGAAGTAAAGAAACAGATTGATAGAGCCAGAAGAGTTCCCAGAAGTTACCTACTACAGGACAGGCCTAACAAAGAAAATAACAGAACGCCACTAGCGGTCACCTTCAGCCCCCAACTAAAACCCCTCCAACGCATTATTAAGGATCTACAACCTATCCTAAAGGATGACCCAACACTCTCACAAGTCTTGGGAGACAGGCCAGTCCTTGCCTACAGACAGCCCCGCAACCTGAAGCAAATACTCACCAACAACCACATACCACACAACAGAACCACTAACCCAGGAACTTATCCTTGCAACAAAGCCCGTTGCCAATTGTGCCCACATATCTATTCAGGGGACACCATCACAGGGCCTAATAACATCAGCCACACTATCAGAGGCTCGTTCACCTGCACATCCACCAATGTGATATATGCCATCATGTGCCAGCAATGCCCCTCTGCCATGTACATTGGTCAAACTGGACAGTCTCTACGTAAAAGAATAAATGGACACAAATCAGATGTCAAGAATTATAACATTCATAAACCAGTCGGAGAACACTTCAATCTCTCTGGTCACGCAATCACAGACATGAAGGTCGCTATCTTAAAACAAAAAAACTTCAAATCCAGACTCCAGCGAGAAACTGCTGAATTGGAATTCATTTGCAAATTGGATACTATTAATTTAGGCTTAAATAGAGACTGGGAGTGGCTAAGTCATTATGCAAGGTAGCCTGTTTCCTCTTGTTTTTTCCTACCCCCCCCCCCCAGATATTCTGGTTTAACTTGGATTTAAACTTGGAGAGTGGTCAGTTTAGACCAGCAGGAGAGTGAGTTTGTGTGTGTATGGGGGTGGGGGGGGAAGTGAGAGAACCTGGATCTATGCAGGAAATAGCCCGACTTGATTATGTAAAGAGTTGTCACTTTGGATGGGCTAGCACCAGCAGGAGAGTGAATTTGTGTGGGGGGGTGGAGGGTGAGAAAACCTGGATTTGTGTTGGAAATGGCCCACCTGCTGATCACTTTAGATAAGCTATTACCAGCAGGACAGTGGGGTGGGAGGAGGTATTGTTTCATATTCTCTGTGTGTATATAAAGTCTGCTGCAGTTTCCACGGTACACATCTGATGAAGTGAGCTGTGGCTCACGAAAGCTCATGCTCAAATAAATTGGTTAGTCTCTAAGGTGCCACAAGTACTCCTTTTCTTTTTACTCATCTTATTGTCACTTTCAAGACATCCTTTGTATTTGACTGCTTCCTCAGTCACTAATTCTCTTGTCTAGCCACATAACATGAATGCATCCGATGAAGTGAGCTGTAGCTCACGAAAGCTTATGCTCAAATAAATTTGTTAGTCTCTAAGGTGCCACAAGTACTCCTTTTCTTTTTGTGATAACATGGAGTGTATCTGTTTATGCTCCAATATCCAGCTATCAGTTTCAGCTTCAGGTCCATGAGGCAAGTTAAGCAAAATATGACTTTTGAGTTGGAGTAAAGTGACTGCACTGGTACATCATTTGTACCTCAATTCTTTCAAGGTTTAGCAATATAAAAGTTAAAATTGCTCTATTAAAACTGATGAGTTGCTGCAATAAAACAAGTTAAATGCGAATTCACCAATTTTGGTACGTAACCATTCTCTAAGTAACCCAAAGCAATCTGTTATATAATTAGAAATTGCTCTTAGGAGGTAATGTGATGTTACAGTTGGCAACTAATCTTGAGTTCATCCCCAAACTGTACCCCAGACTAGACAATAGAATGAATTATTGATGTATCTGTGCAAGTTTTTCCAACATCAGAATAGGTTAAGATGAGTGGATTGCTCATATGTACACATGGCGTTGCCAAAGTAAGTCAGCAGAAAACTTAAACTACATAGATCCTTCATTAAACTAATCAATCTTTGCGGAGTAACAAATATTAGGCTGTCACAGGCCATTTTTGTGAAGGTTGCCTTTGGGATCTGTGTAATGAATGGCTGTTTACTGATATAATGGCAAGAGTTAGTGTTACAGCATCCTCAAGCAAGTAGAACCTCCATGTATTTATAAGGAATTTAATTCATAAAAACAGAAGCCACTGGGAGTTTTGTCATTCACTTTAGGAGGACAGGGATTGTCTATACACAAGTTTCCATGAAAGCAAGTCTGTTAGCTGGATTAGAGGATTTGAAAGGCAAAATATACAAGTAAATAAATATGAACTCTAAAATGATCTTGATTGCACTGTGAACTTTTTTTTCTTAAAAGCTTTGACTCATCCCTGGCTACAGATCTGCAGCAATAGATACAGAACATTTTTAACAATAAGTTTCACAAAAAGCAGGTGAATTAATTCAATTTTAAAAAGAGACACCTTCTGGAACTAGTTATAAAACAAACCATGTCCCCAAAAGTGTGTTTAAGTATGTGTGTGTATGTGTAATTTCCCCAATTTATTTTGAGTAATTTATGTAAAACGGTATTTAGTACTATTTGTTTTCTTTTTGGCTTCAAGTCTTTTTATCCTCTCCTGTACAATTCCTGCCCTGTAATAGTGCACAAGATATAAATCAGGGTAACTATATTTAATCTAAAAGACCTCTCCACAGAAAGATGCATCTTTTTTGTTTTAATTGAGGTCTTTTTTGTTTATGTCCTCCTCTTGCATAATCATTCCACTTTGTTTATAGTTTCCTTCTCCAGATTGTTGCTGAGATAGTTTTTAAACAATAACAACAAAAGCAGCATGAAATTCTAATCCTTATCCCACTGGATTAAACACTGTATGCAATACAGCTATCTTGACCTCTAGCTTTAATCTCAAACATATGTTGTTCATGGCTCAGTGACTCACACAGAGAAAGAAAAAAGAAAGACAGTAATGTTGATCTAACCATGACATGGGTTCCAACTTTATGTAACGCTTAACAATGATGTGTTAGAAGAGTGAGGAGCTTCTCTTTAAAGAACAAATTGTTCCATATCTGTCTCTCATTGGAGCAGTAGGTGTTAATTTTGCATATTTTAAAACTAGACTTCCACACCTGGGAGTTCACTGCCTCATAGTATCCACTCCAGGCAACCAAACTGGCAGATTGTCATTTATTGTTGACCAGAGAATAATAACACCTATTGCTCTGGAAAATGCAAAAAGCTGGAAGGTTTAAACATTTCATGTTCTCAACAATGTACTTTGCGTACTTGTCTAGTTTCCTATCACAAGGAGATGAATCCAGCCACTCAGTCTTTTGCTGTATTTCTTTTTCTTATGGTCTGTCTTATTTGTATGTTTGTGCTGAACATCTTGGAATTACTCTACATTTGAGGAAACTGCAAGTATTTCCTTGCTTAAAGTGTCTCCTACATTCGAACAAAAGAATATTGTGATTGGTAGCTCTGAGAAGTACCAAAATGCACCTTTTCTCTTTTTTGTTATTGATTTTTGCATTTAATAGTCTTGAAACTATTATCTACAAAAAAACAATAATGTGCAACCCACAAATTGTTCTCTTCACTGGCACTAAGTCTTATTAGCACATCAAAAATTGTTCACCAGTGCAGGGTATTTTAAAGTTCCTTGTATTGTTTATTCTCCAGCATTTGCAATATATATTTGTGGATCAAATGCCTAAGGAAACAGCCGTTTTTCAGCTGAAAATATTTTATTCAATCACATTACAGAACAGTGCTCACTTACAATATCTTTTCTCCGGACTCCTGCATTGAACCTATCATAGTGACCACTGCTGAGCAGGAGAAAAAAATCGTGACTGTTGCTCATAATATTAACATATCACATTGGAATGTAATAATTGAATTGAAGTATTTGTCTGTGTCAAATGGGAAGCATGATTGACTGCAGCATGGCAATACATTTGATCTTGTTAGCCCCACAATTGCATTTTCCTGAAAAAAAAACAGACCCATGTATTCATATATATTGTGACAGGGTCGGGCCAGATGGCTATAGGAGAGTGATTTTTTTTTTCTCACAAGAAAAGTTGAATTTTTATTTATTAGGCAGACAGTACAAAGAGATTCACTTAGATTTCTGACTCTGTGCTTGTGCCTTCAACACTTTCACAACAATCTTCTCTTCAATAAGGAAAGCTCGTTTGATTCTGTCACGGACACATTTAGCACACATGGAACTGCCATGGGCTCTGCTAATATGCTTCTTTGTTTTTGACAACCTCATAAGGACTTTAGGGCACACAGCACGAACACCGCGAAGTCTTCCTGGACACACACCACATGCAGACTTCGGTGCCTTGCCAACTTTCTTAGTGTAAAGAAGGCAGATATATTAGCCCCAGGTTAAGTAGGTCTCTTTTCCCTGGGTAAGGTAACAGGGAAGGTTCCAGAACAATCAGGAACTTTCTGGAAACAATTGAGGCAGACAGGCTGATTACAACACCTGCAGCCAATCAAGAAACTGCTAGAATCGATTAAGGCAGGCTAATCAGGGCACCTGGGTTTAAAAAGGAGCTCACTTCAGTTTGTGGTGTGCGTGTGAGGAGCTGGGAGCAAGAGGTGCAAGAAGCTGAGAGTGAGAAGGCGTACTACTGGAAGACTGAGAAATACAAGCATTATTAGACATCAGGAGGAAGGTCCCGTGGTGAGAATAAAGAAGGTGTTGGGAGGAGGCCATGGGGAAATAGCCCAGGGAGTTGTAGCTGTCACACAGCTGTTACAGGAGCCACTTTAGAGAGCTGCAATCAACAGGGCCCTGGGCTGGATCCCGGAGTAGAGGGCGGGCCTGGGTTCCCCCCATCCTCCCAACTCCCTACTTGATACTGGAGGAGTTGACCTGGACTGTGGGTTCCACCAGAGGGGAAGGTCTCTGGCCTTTTCCCCGATCTACTAGGTGGATCAGCAGAGACTGCGGGGATTGTTCTTCTTCCTTTCCCCATGCTGGCCAGTGATGAGGCTAACTGAGTGAATGGCAGATTTAAGCCACGAAAGTGGCCAAACTGAGGGCTGCTGTGAGCCTCTGAGGTGAGAAAATCTGCCAATAAGCGCAGGAACCACCAAGGCAGAGGAGGAACTTTGTCACAATACAAATGCAACTCGTATGCTACAGCATCCGCGACAGAGAGATTTTACAATGATTTAGGGTAGCGAAAAGGTGAGTGCTGAAATGCAGCAGCATCTTTGGAATTATTTATTAGAACCAGTAGCATAGACACTATGATTTATTGCATTTCTTCCACTTTGATTTTAATTAGGTTCTTACTCTGAGCCTTGAGAGAGACACGTGTCTGTCTGGTTGTATTGGGGAGAGTTTTTTAACATGTACCTTCTGTTACTGTAATGCCAGGTGCTTTACACTAGTCACATGAAGCTTTTTTAAAGCCCACCTGTATCTCCAAACACAATATAAACACGGAGAACATAGTAAACATTAAAAATGTCCAGTCCAATTGAAATGTTGGCTGACTATGCCATGCTGTCGACATGGCATCATTTGCTGAGGTAATCTATCTCCATTTGGATTGTGTGGTCCTGCCAATAAATACACTATATATAATTCATTGACCAAAAAAAATATTATTTTTCCCAGCGTAAAGTTTTGCATTCCCTTCTGCTTAGAGTTTGTATTTGTTGCTTTTACAACTTTAGCTCGTTGCAGGATAGAGGTTAGCAGGACTGCTTTATAATCCATAAATGATTTGGTATTTGTTCCTTTGTTTGTGAACCTTTAGATATAAATGTTAGTACTTAAAATGTTTGTTTCTTTCCCTCCTTTTGTGTTTTTCCTTCTATATTATTTTTTCTGCGAGGTTAGTGTTTCCTCGAGAGACTACTATACAGTAATCAGGGAGCATTTTGTCGTCTTGTAAATCAGGAGCCTGTGTGTAAATCAGAAGACTGTGTGCTAAAGTCTGGAGCACTTAGAATGAGCCACTGAATCTCCTTCTGTTTCCTTGTTTTGATGTTTTTATTTGACTCCTTTCCATTTGTCTCTTTGTCTGTATCTCGGTCATGCTTAATCTTTTGCATTTCTCCTTTAACATGTTACTTTGCTGTTTTCTAATTGCATAATACATTTCATGTCATTACACTTGCTGGTTTTTTTTTTTTTTTTTGCTGGGGAGGAAATCTAATTTTCTAGTTTATTCTTTTGATCCTTGAACTCTGGTTATACTGCACCTCTGCAGAAGAATGGACCACAATAGCAAGCGCTCAGCCCATCCCAAACACAAAGACTTTGTGTGTTGGCCCCATTCCAATATATAAGAACTTCTAAAGAAGAACGAGGGTGCATGCTTAAGTCACTGTTTGGAATCAACCAGTCCTACAAGATTTCCTTATTCAAGTATTATTATTAATGTCAGCATGACTATTCACATGAGGAGTTGCAGCAGGATTAAACACTACAGTTTACCAAATGAAACAACACTCTGGACAATTAATGCACTATCATTAGCACTGAGAAATTAATCATTCAGTCTTAACTAGCTTTGGCTCTCTAAGGAGCAAAAGATCTGTCTCTTTTTGTATGTTTGTACAGTGCCTAACACAATAGGGCTCTGGCCCTACAATAATACTTACTAATTGATAATGTAACACTATAATATGGTGCACAACCAGGTAGACCAATCTCTCTTTCTACAGCACTGTTAGTAATAGGATGACAGGTCAGTTGTTTGAATTCAAGCCTTTTCAGTTGCTTTAGCAAGGAAAAGTAAACTGAAAAAAGTTTCAAAGTTTTGAGGATCTTAATTTTGGATTTAGGTGCCTAAAATGGCAATTAGGTGCCTAAATCCCTTTGTGGATCTAGCTTATTGTGTCAACAGATATGAGTGGCCCCCAAGATATCATTTATAATTCCCATAGAAATTTTAACTTCAGAAAAAAAATCAAAAGTATGACAGTCTGGAAGTGAATAGTTAAGAGATGCAGCCATTTTCTTCCTGCCATATGTGTCTCCAAACTTGCTATCAACCCATGCAAGTTACACCCTCCCACGTTGCCAGTACTATATCCCCCTGTGTTGTGTTCTAAAATAATAATATGTTGTTGAATGCATGCAGGAGAATTAATATACTGCTCACTCCTTTAGAGCGAACTGTTTCAAAATTAAGTACTTAGCGGGCCTTAGCGTATGGCAGAGCTCCCTAAGTTTTCTGCTAGTGCAGTGTGTTGAATGAATAGTTAAACTTTTTATGAATAAAAAGAAAAACCGTAAAGGTGGGACTCTGCAAAGCATTCAGTGTTGGCCTAACTGTTCCCTTTGAAGCATGGCAAAGACTCCCATTGATTTCAGTCAGAACAGAGACCAGTGCTGAGCACTCTTAAAAATCCCCCCAAAATGTTTATTTAAAAATAACACCCCTAAAAACAAACAAATAAAACCTAAAAGGCATTTCTTTCCTCCACAGGCTAACAGGAAAAAAAAGAAATTTGGAATCTCTATACCAAAGACAACATTTGCAAAAGCACCTAAGTTCCTTTTTCAAAAATGATCTAAGCACTTAAGCGCTTACGCCTATTAACTTTAGGCACCTAAGTCACTCAGACATTTTTTGACAATGTTATGCCAAGTCACGTTAGGGAGGTCCTGAGCCCAAAGTCTTAGAAAAATGTCCAAAAGAAACTTCTGCCAAATGTTCATAACATTATAACTTTAAAACTGGCTCATTTTTAACACATTTTCTTTAAAAATACTAATGTACCCTGGGATGACATATGGAAAGCGACACTTTAGAAAATAAGTTTCTTTTTGGAGAAGATGGGGGTCTTACAAATCTGGCTTATAGTGTGGAGAGCTAGTTCCCATCATAACTATGGAGCAACTATCATTCCGCAGTACATTTTTTATCATCAAGATTCAGCTTTTTAAAAGCAAAAGTTTGCATAATGAGCTCAGACAATGTGTAATGTCCAGTTAATGCAGCACCGCCTAACTGGGTAAATCTTCCCTCTGGAGGTGAGGGAGGAAGTGTGGATTTTACAATGACAGTAGGTTGTTTTGGATTTGCAGATGGTAGAGGAAAGTGAAGAAAGACTAACAGAAGAGCAGATTGAGTCACTTCTTCAGACACTTTCCAGCATTCTTCCAGGGAACCCAGAGGAAGAGCTGCAGAGACAGGCGACAATGGCAGCTGAAGAAGAAGGTGACCCAGAATAGACAGCATCTGAACCTAAGTTGGCAACATCATCAAAAGCTTAATGAGTAAAGAACCAGCTAAACTTTCTGATTGCAAAGACCATGTCTGGGGTTTTTCACCCAGGGCTTAATCTTGTGTGACATCGTTGTACAGTACGTTAATGTTTTGTTGTGTAAATCATAAAAGCAACAGTTGTTTATAAGAAACATAAATCAAAGGAGAGCTCTCATGTCAGCCTGTTTTGAGATGTGAGAAAGATAGTAAGTGGCTTCATAATACAGCAGTTTGTGAAATAGTGAAAATAAACGTTATGCTTGAATATTCTTTTTTTCCATTACCCATGTAACAGCTGTTCTTTTTTGAGGAGGGTATATGCAGCTGGCAGTGTTCTCATTATCATAGCAATACACTATAATTATAATTGATTTCATATGTTTTTGAATTACTCAACTGTTTTTCAGAGTGCAGTTTACAATGCAGTGCAAATTGTGTGTGGAAGAAGCCATTTCAGGGTATCAGTACACAGAATAAAGTTTAAAAACTGTTTAATATCCATATAAGATCAGTAGTAATAATAGATCCTTATAACTACTAATATCTTTAGGGTTATACCATGGAAGTGGAGGAATGTAAAGGCTGTATTGATATGGTAACAAGTCTCAAGGACACCTCTGATATGACCCTATGCTTATTTTAAATATAGGGCCAGATCCTCAGCTGATGTAAATGGACAGAATCCCATCAAAGTCAAGAGAGTGATGCTGATTCACACCAGTTGAGGATCTGGCCCATGAAGTTAGGGTTCTCAGTAATACAAACAAAAAAATTTATAAGTATAAGGCTGCTGTTTTCCTTTGAAATCACCTGTTGTCTAGGTCTAACACAGGGGTGGGCAAACTTTTTGGGCCGAGGGCCACATCTGGGTGGGGAAATTGTATGCAGGGCTGGGGCAGAGGGTTGGGGTGTGGGAGGGGGTGCAGTGTGCAGGAACGGGCTCAGGGCAAGGGATTGAGGCAGAGGAGGGGTACAGGGTGTATGAGGGGGCTCAGAAGGGGGTTGAGGTGCAGGAGGGGGCTCAGGGCAGGGGTGCAGGAGGGGTGCAGACTGGGAGGGAGCTCAGGGCACGGGGTTGGGGTGCAGGAGAGGTGCGGGGTGCGACGGCTCAGGGCTGGGGGTTGGGGTGCAGGAGGGGTTCAGGGTGCGATAGGGCTCAGGACAGGGAGTTGGGGCGCAAGAGGCGTGTGGGGTGCGGCGGGGGCTCAGGGCAGGGGGTTGGGGTGCACAGTGCAGCAGGGGGCTGAGGGCAGGGAGGAGGGGTGCGAGGTGCAGGCAGGGGGCTCAAGGCAGGGGGTTGTGGGGGACGGGGTGCAGGAGGGGTTCGGGCTCCGGCTTGGCACCGCTTACCTAAAGTGACTCCGGGGTGGCAGCAGCGCACACTGGGGCTGGGGCAGGCTCCATGTCCCTGCGCGTCCTCTGGGGGAGTGGGGGGCACAGGGCTCTGCATGCTGCCCTTGCCACGCCTCCAGGTACCTCCCCCCGAAGCTCTCATTGGCTGTGGCTCCCTGTTCCCATTGGGGCCTGGAGGCAAGGGCAATGCATGGAGCCCTCTTCCCCTCCCTCCCCACCCAGGCCCCAGGGACATGGTGCCAGCTACTTCTGAGAGTGGTGCGGGGCCTGCGGTACCATGGGGGGCAATCCTGCGGGCCGGATCCAAAGCTCTGAGGGGCCAGATCCAGCCTGCAGGCCGTAGTTTACCCACCCCTGGTCTAACATGTAGAAGATTGCACAGTCCACATGAGCTATGCTGTCATGGCACACCTGGGTGAGTTAATGATGACATGACAGCCTTAACTGTGAATTTCCCTATTTTGTTTTCAGAAGTTTAATGAGGCTCAGTCCTTGCTCAAGCAAAATCACTGAAGTCAATAGTTTTTTCTGACCACAGGATCAAGCACTTAATGTTGAAAGTGTTAAAGATCATTAAATCACAGATCGTACATATATGGTACAGGCAACGCTGTTTCTTCTTATGCTATGTCTGCAAACAAAAATTGTACCAGTCATTATAATATGTTAAAAGCCGAAATAAAAAGTTTGAAAAAAACTCCTAGGAATTTTGTGGTTGATAGCAGTGGGAGTCAGAATATCTGATTTCTGTTTCCAGCTCTTTCACAGCCTGTGTTTGTGACATTGGGCAAATAATTTACCATTGCTCTGTCTCCGTTTTCCCTTATGTAAAGTAGAATGCTTCACAGGAGTGTCGTAATGCTCATAAATATTTGTAAGATTCTCTGAGGTACTAAGATGGAAGGTGCTATTGAAGTAGAAATGACAACTACTGCTATCTTTAGGAAGTGTATAACTATAAGGTTAATAAATTCTAAGGCTGAAAGCCAAGGTGTGTGTTAGCACAAGGTACAGTGATTATGCTGTTAAAAAGAAAGTTCCGAGTTCTTTTTGTTAAATAAATGTAAATATTCATAGAGGGTGGAGGGGAAGCCCTCCAAAATGGTTAATGGACTATCAGACTACTGAAAGATACATTTTTAAATTTGTTTTAAAATTAACCTTTTTGGCTCTTATGGGTCATTACTGGTGCTCGGCAGCTTGCAGGGATGGGCCATGTCTTTTAGAATTTATTGTATTTTCTAAAAGCCAGCTCATGAAATGTCATTATAAAACTAACAGAGCAAACAGAAGCAAAATCACAAGTCCCTTTAAAATACAAGTGAGTATTTTAACCACTTTCTTAAGCTGGTTGTTCCACGTGGGAAATTGTTGATTTGTTATCATAATATATCTGTGCCAGAGTCAGTGTGGTTTTATGTTGAAAGTTGAAAATGTGTTGTTTGGATTTCTAATAAACTGCCCTTTTATTTAATGTACTTAACAATAAATCACTTCCAGGTGAATAAAAATATTTACTTTTGTACAAATACAAGAATAGACTACTTCTCTCAGTGAAGACACAAAAATGATCATTTTCTTGGAACTATTTTGCCAAATGATATTCTGTGAAAGATTATCTAGGGTTCCAACCTCTGCATTTTGTTTTAACCTGCTGCCTGTATTTTCTGAATGCACAAATACAGGCGGTGGATTCTGGAACTATAAATGGCTCTTGCTTCATGCTTGTTTTCACTCCGATTATTACTTGGAAGCCATGATCCTGAGACACAAATGGTTTATGGAAAACAAATATTACCTCATGTGTGATATCATCTTCTGGTGTGCTGTACGTTACATGAAAGAGCTGATCAGTATCTTATTTTTTTACTGCTAATCTGTTATCTAGTACTGCAAGTGTATGCTGGGTTATAAAACAGAGAGCAATACACATTCCCTGCCCCAAAGAACTTACACTCTGAGACCCTGATTCAGCAAAATACTTAAACATTTGCTTAACTGTAAGCATTTTTATAATCCTATTAACTTTAATGAGACTACCCACTTTTTTAAAGTTAGCAACATGCTTAAGTACCTTGCTGACTCTGGGCCTGAGAGACCGGATGAAACATATCACAGAAGTTTAGGTAAAGGAGGGTGTCAGAAATACTGCTGCAGAAAATAAAGTAGGATTTCTGAAAGAGGAGGATTTTGAAGAAAGAAAAGAGAGAGCGCACTTAATAGAGAAGAATTTGGTAGATGTTTCCAAGCAGAGGGGACAGCATGAAAAAAGGCATGAAAACAAGAGAGTGAGATGGTGAAAGAGATAGTAAAGGGAGAACTTGGCAGAGGAGTAAAAGGAAATTAAAGCAGAGGTGTAGGCTGGGTAAGGTTATGTAGGGTCTCAAAGGTGAGGATGGGTTTGATGTTGTTGCTGTTAAAGACAGCAGGCTAGTGAAGGGATTCAAAGAGGGGGGCAAATTGTGAGGAGATGAAGTTAACTGTGGTCTAATGTTCTGGACAGACTGGAGATAGGATGGGACAGAGACTTACAGTAGTCAAAGTGAAAAATGAGCAGGGCCATGGACAAGAGCTTTAGGAGAGGGGCTAAAGAGAAAGTGGAATAAAAAATGACAGTGATCTTGTTTTAAGTATGTTTCTACAGAAACAGATATCAAGTAATAAGGTGTCTCAGGTAATGCATTTATGGCTCTACAGATAATTTACCTTCTAAACTGACCCATTCAAGTGCTACTAAATGTCAATTCAGAATGCTGCTGCAAAGATCATTTTTCTAGCCCAGTGCTTTGACCATGGCACCCCTCTCCATGCATCTCTTCACTGGCTCTCCCTTCTCATTGGGTCCAATGTAAGCTGCTTTTTTCCCCACTTTTCACCCTACATATGCATCTCTCATTTGCTATTGAGATGCTGACTTTTGCTGCCAGTCAGCCTGTGATGCCTGCCACCACCCACTTGTTAAATTTAAAACAAACAAAACACCTTTTGTGCTTTCTCTTCTGCTGCTCCTGATGCTTAGGAGCAGCCCCCTCTAAAGATCCCAAAAAGCTAACATCATCTTCCTTCAAAACCCTCCTCAAAATTGTCCTTTGCCATGATGCCTACAAAAATCGTAACGGTTAGATAGCTGCCATCCTGAGATCGCCTGTCATGCTGACCAATTGTTTCCTTGCACATTGTTTCCTTGTCATTGTTTCCTTGCATACCCCAATCTGTCTGTCAATCTTCTGTCTCTGCAACATGGTTGGCAGCCCACCTCTCGCAAGTTCCCCCTTCTGATGGGGCGTGTCTGCGTTCTTTAGGTTTGGAGACCCCTTTCAGTGGTTATCAGGTGGGTTTTCAGTGGCTCAGCCCTCTGGCTGAGTCACACGGTCTTCAAGTAGTCCAGCCCAGGTATGAGGCTGTATCCCCAGGGCTTCCTCCCTGGAAACACTATCTTTCTGTAGCCCTCCCCAGGCTCAGTCCTTACTCAGTCCCTAGCAGCCAGCCAGGAGCCTCTTGCTCCCCGAGTCCCCGCCAGCAGGCTTAGCTGTCTGGAGTCCTGCTGCTCGTCCAGGCAGCCAGCCTGCAGCCCATTCTTCTAGCTTGCTATGTGCATGTATACACAAAGCACACAACTGGACGAGGAGTTCTGAAAAATATGGTCCTTAATCTTGAAGGTGTAGGAAGCTATACATATTAAAGAAGCACATCCCATACCATTTCTAGCTTCTTCCCTTGCAATATTTTTTTTTTTTTTGTATTCCTCATTTCTGTTCTTTATCTCACAAGTGGGCCTGGGAAGATTGAAAGCTTTGGTTGCGACAGCACTTAGGCTGTAGAAACCGCTCTCTTGGAGAGTTTACGATTTAACTGTCAAAAACCCTCTTGCATTTTGGTATTTTAAAATAGAAGAATAAAACCAGAAATCAG